ACGAGTTTTCTCAGCTGCTTCCATTTGAAGATTGTGCCCACGCTCCGAATTGAAACAAGATCTAAAATGAGTGAAATTTCTATACTACATAAAAAAACAGAGAAATGTATATTGTATCGAAGTAATTTTGAAAAACAGAGCTAATCTTCTCTTTGAGCGTGCTTTTCAAAGCTTATGAATTCATGTTAATGAGGGAATTTAGTGGAATTCGCTAGCAGTGAAGAGAATTAATTCTCTTCTGAGTCACTTGTAGCGTGATTTGGTTTTATCAGATAAAGATGAACGATACATACTCGATCTCATTCTGTAAGGCCCTGTCAATAGAATGCTCGGCATAACATCGCGTTTTTGCAACTTCAAATGAGTTTTTCTCCTAAAAAAGAATGTAGTACTTCTACTGTAACAAATTTGTCAAAAGAGATTACTGAATACTTGAGAATGAGTAAAAATGGAGAAAAAATAGAGCTAACCATCAACAGTTTTTCCGTGCAGTACAACAATGAGACTAACTCATATTGGTGCTTAATAACATCGATCATACAAGAATGGTATTTGTTGATTTTACACTCTTCTTCCCCATGTTGGCAGATAATCTTCCCATCCTGGAAAAGTAATGATATGCTTAACTTGTAGAAAAGCTTAAGCATACGATAAGTGCCTACCTTGATATGTGCGTTACCGTAAGGTACAATATCAAAGTTTATAATACTATTCAAGTTTGTAAGTAGAGGATAGAGCTGGTTGACAAAAAATCGCTGACAGTCGATGCAAAGAGCTTCGGTTAGGATAGTAAGGTCAACTTTTTTATCGTAAGCGACGTCGTTAAATCTGAAATGCGCTTATGCCTTGAGGCTAATGGAAATGTTTATAATCAGATAGTTTTGATGCAAAAGGTTTGAATATTTTGTTCACCATTCTTTCTCAATTAGATTAAAATTATTTTGTGATCACTAGGAAGACTATAAAAGTAAAGGAAATTGCAGTCATTTATAGGCTTAACATATGAAGAAGATAGAATAAGATACAGCTATGGAGCAAAGCGTCTTCGGAAATATGGCACATTTTTTACAGCTATGGAGGCGCTGTGATGCAGTGCTCGTGTCTGTGTGTCTTAAACTTCCTACTGTTCGTTGATAAAATTGAAAAGTGTCCATCAAATAACGACCGCTTAGCTGCCTTAAAAGTAAAGACGTTTTTTTTACATCTCGTCAAATTTCTTGTCTTGATAATATTGGCCAGTATATCACGTCTAAATCGCAGATAAGTATCTTTTATGATTTTGATTTGCAAGAATTGTAGAAAGGGTTGGGCTCAGATTCCCAGTGAGCTCATTGCTTACACTTTTCAGTGGAAGCAGCATCCCAGAGATGGACGTGGTTTAAATTTTAAGTCTGGTGTCCATGTCTCATCATATTTAGGTAACTAAAGGTTCTTGCGTAATACTGAGGATTACAACACTTTTCCATATGGATTTATTTGTGGCCTTCTATTCACAACAACCTTATTCGAGTAAGTATGAGAGCCAAGAAGTGTTGTAAAAGCATGATTGTAATAGTGATTTGCAGAGTTTTTATTGGGATACGTTGCACTACACGTTGAATTCTTTCTTTTGTAGCGACACAAATTAGGGTGATTATGGAGACTGGAAGTTTTTTGCAAAACATCCCAAACGCAATTACAAATTTTTGAAATAACTGATATGAATTTTGTTGAATTTATAGCATAGCTCTAATTGCTAACGAATATACTCAAGCTTTATATAACAGGTTCACGATTTTAGAGCTTCCAAACCACTCAACCTATCTCATGACCTGAGATACAGCAATCCTGAGACGTGTGACTCATTTGTATTTCAGGCGGAGCTTAGGTGAAAGCTTCCATACGGTTCGTATAATTCTCTATTCTACTTCTATTGTTGATAGGATGTTTAATTAACTGGTTTTATGAAAAAACGTTAACAGTACGCAAATCTCTCTTACATTGGTATATACATACATATCCTTACT